TACCCTTTTCTCTATGTATGAGGTCAATTTTTTTTTATTGGAGTTAAAATTAACGTAGATATATGACCGAACCTAACCAACCCTACCTAACCTAACCTAACCTATATTTATAGGTAAGGTTAGGTTAGGTAGCCAAAAAAAGCTAGGTTAGGTTAGGTTAGGTAGGTTAGGTAGACGAAAAAACATTAATTCATGAAAACTTGGCTTATTAGGCAAATCGGGCCTTGAATAGTAGGCTGAGAAGTGCGTTCTGGCTATTAGGTACGACATATATATATATATATATATATATATATATATATATATATCGTACCTAGTAGCCAGAACGCACTTCTCGGCCTGAATAGCCGAGAAGTGCTATTCATAATGAAATGAATAGCTTTATCATTTCATAAGAAAAAAAAGAAAATATTGAAACTCCAGAAAACTTGGCTTATTAGGCAAATCGGGCCTTGCATAGTAGGCCAAGAACTGCATTCTGGCTACTAGGTACGATATATATATATATATATATATATATATATATATATATATATATATATATATATATATATATATTATTAAATATGACCGAAAAAGTAAGATTAATAATTCTAACACGAATTTTCTCAATCTTTCGTACATTACGCTTCACTGTTGGAGGTATATCAAAAATCACTTCTCCAAAATTCATTTTTATTTCTAGTCTGACGCGACACGGGCGCGTTTCGTAAAACTTATTACATTTTCAAAGACTTCACAAATACACAACTGATTAGAACTTGCGTTTCTCTGATTTTATATCTACATTTGAGTGAGGTGGGAAGGGTGATGTGGCATTAACACAAGACAGAACACTAGGGGATATTAATAGGGTATTAAAAGTATCAACACAAGACAGAACAGAAACAATGGGTATTGAATAGAAGTGTTTGTAGAAAGCCTATTGGTCCATATTTCTTGATGCTTCTATATTGGAGCGGAGTCTTGAGGTGGGTAGAAGACTCCGCTCCAATATAGAAGCATCAAGAAATATGGACCAATAGGCTTTCTACAAACACTTCTATTCAATACCCATTGTTTCTGTTCTGTCTTGTGTTGATACTTTTAATACCCTATTATATCCCCTATTGTTCTGTCTTGTGTTAATGCCACATCACCCTTCCCACCTCACTCAAATGTAGATATAAAATCAGAGAAACGCAAGTTCTAATCAGTTGTGTATATGTGAAGTCTTTGAAAATGTAATAAGTTTTTACGAAACGCGCCCGTGTCGCGTCAGACTAGAAATAAAAATGAATTTTGGAGAAGTGATTTTTGATTTACCTCCAACAGTGAAGCGTAATGTACGAAAGATTGAGAAAATTCGTGTTAGAATTATTAATCTACTTTTTCGGTCATATTTAATAATATATATATATATATATATATATATATATATATATATATATATATATATATATATATATATATATATATATATATATATATCGTACCTAGTAGCCAGAATGCAGTTCTTGGCCTACTATGCAAGGCCCGATTTGCCTAATAAGCCAAGTTTTCTGGAGTTTCAATATTTTCTTTTTTTTTCTTATGAAATGATAAAGCTATTCATTTCATTATGAATAGCACTTCTCGGCTATTCAGGCCGAGAAGTGCGTTCTGGCTACTAGGTACGATATATATATATATATATATATATATATATATATATATATATATATATATATATATATATATATATATATATAAGGCAGCCTCAATACTCACCATGTTGACCTTCCCTACCCTCCTGACAGCCATCACCGCATCCTCACCCCGAGCGCCTCTCACCATCCAACACTATACAGGTGGGAGCGTACATATAGGTCACAACAACATGTGCGTGCACAGGTGTTATGGTGGTAATGTTCACCAGGGTGGAGGGGGGGGGGGAAGTAGTCTCACGCCAAAATATATGTTCAAGTTTCTGATCAGACGTGTATACAGGTCTGTGGAAGCTGCATGTATAGTGGCCCTAGCCTTCCAGGCCTAGTCCTCCAGGCCTAGTCCTGCAGGCCTAGTCCTCCAGGCCTAGCCCTCCAGGCCTAGCCCTCCAGGCCTAGTCCTCCAGGCCTAGCCCTCCAGGCCTAGTCCTGCAGGCCTAGTCCTCCAGGCCTAGCCCTCCAGGCCTAGTCCTGCAGGCCTCCAAGCTAACACCCGAGGACGGGACCTCGGGCTGGTGGCCTCTTGCTTGGGTGCTGTGCGACTCAGGTGCTGAGCAGCGGTGACAGCTATAGTACACCTGGCTACACTGACCACTGCACCAGGCACAAGGCACAGGTTGGCTACACTGACAACTGTACCAGGCACAGGTTGGCTACACTGACCACTGCAGCAGGCACAGGTTGGCTACACTGACCACTGCACGAGGCACAGGTTGGCTACACTGACCACTGTACCGGCCACAGGTTGGCTACACTGACCACTGCACCGGGCACAGGTTGGCTACACTGACCACTGTACCAGGCACAGGTTGGCTACACTGACCACGGTACCAGACACAGGTTGGCTACACTGACCACTGCACCAGGCACAGGTTGGCTACACTGACCACTATACCAGGCACAGGTTGGCTACACTGACCACTGCACCAGGCACAGGTTGGCTACACTGACCACTGCACCAGGCACAGGTTGGCTACACTGACCACTGCACCAGGCACAGGTTGGCTACACTGACCACTGCACCAGGCACAGGTTGGCTACACTGACCACTGCACCAGGCACAGGTTGGATACACTGACCACTGCACCAAGCACAGGTTGGCTACACTGACCACTGCACCAGGCACAGGTTGGCTACACTGACCACTGCACCAGGCACAGGTTGGTTACACTGACCACTGCAGTAGGCACAGGTTGGCTACACTGACCACTGTACCAGGCACAGGTTGGCTACACTGACCACCGCAGCAGGCACAGGTTGGCTACACTGACCACCGCAGCAGGCACAGGTTGGCTACACTGACCACTGCACCAGGCACAGGTTGGGTACACTGACCACTGCACCAGGCACAGGTTGGCTACACTGACCACTGTACCAGGCACAGGTTGGCTACACTGACCACTGTACCAGGCACAGGTTGGCTACACTGACCACTGTACCAGGCACAGGTTGGCTACACTGACCACTGCACCAGGCACAGGTTGGCTACACTGACCACTGTACCAGGCACAGGTTGGCTACACTGACCACTGTACCAGGCACAGGTTGGCTACACTGACCACTGTACCAGGCACAGGTTGGCTACACTGACCACTGTACCAGGCACAGGTTGGCTACACTGACCACTGTACCAGGCACAGGTTGGCTACACTGACCACTGTACCAGGCACAGGTTGGCTACACTGACGACTGCAGTAGGCACAGGTTGGCTACACTGACCACTGTACCAGGCACAGGTTGGCTACACTGACCGACCTCAGTCAACACGGTCGTCATCAACGATAAACTGAGTGACTCATATCTGTTAATTTTCATCACCGGCCACAACTGTGCGCGCGCAACGCGAACGAACACACACACACACCTGTACGTGATAGCTACACACACACACACACACACACACACACACACACACACACACACACACACACACACACACACACACACACACCTGCACGTGATAGCTACACACACACACACACCTGTACGTGATAGCTACACACACACACACACACACACACACACACACACACACACACACACACACACACACACACACACACACACACACACACACACACCTGCACGTGATAGCTACACACACACACACACCTATACGTGATAGCTACACACACACACACACCTGCACGTGATAGCTACACACACACACACACCTGTACGTGATAGCTACACACACACACACACACCTGTACGTGATAGCTACACACACACACACACACCTGTACGTGATAGCTACACACACACATACCTGTACGTGATAGCTACACACACACACACACCTGTACGTGACAGCTACACACACACACACACACACCTGTACGTGATGGATACACGCACACACACAAGTAGACAGACCCTATCAGACGTTTACACAACCACGAAACACCTGTAAAGCCAGTCATGTGTGCCTCTTCACATAATACACCAATAAAACGCAGTATATATATATATCACCTGTGAATCATATGACCAATGCTGCACACCTGTGCAAAACTAGACATCTGCATATTATATATATATATATATATATATATATATATATATATATATATATTATATATATATATATATATATATATATATATATATGTACGTTGATAACTTGTATGAAAACTTGCACACATTCAATATTACATTTACCAAATCGAATAATGAATTAATTTTCATGACAGGACCAACAAACATGTGGATACAATGCCTTTCTCACCTTCCCCCTCTCCCCCCCCCCCACACACACACACACACCTCGTTCCCCCTTCCTAACACCCGTCTCTCTCCCTTTCCCACACAACGGTTAGTAGAGTCAATTCACAACCAAAAGGTCCTGGGGTTTGATTCTCTAGCAGGAATGACAGGTCTGGACACGTTTATTGTCACCTGATGCTTCTCTTCACCACCTAGCGGTAATTAGGTATCCAAGAGTTATGAAACCGTTGCATCCTTTCGCCCCTCTTCTCATCTGGCATAGGCCTATCCTCATTATCCTATCCCAGCATGAGCAGCCGCCACAGTCCTTCACTAGCTGCACCTCACTAGGTGTGAGAGAGCCGGTGGCTGAGCGGACAGAACACTGGACGCGTGATCCTGTGGTCCCGGGTTCGATCCCGGGCGCCGGCGAGAAACAATGGGCAGTTTCTTTCACTCTGATGCTTATGTTACCTAGCAGTAAATAGGTACCTGGGAGTTAGTCAGCTGTCACGGGCTGCTTCCTGGGCGGTGGAGGCCAAGTCGAGGACCGGGCCGCGGGGGACACTAAGCCCCGAAATCATCTCAAGATAATCTCTGAGTACTGACCTTGTCGCTCCTGGAGCTCCTGTTGCTCTTGGAGGAGGCGCGGGAGGAGACCAGCAGCTGAGACTCGGAGGCCATACGGTTGAACTTCTGCGTGGTCTCCCTCACCGACACGGAGACCTTCCGCTCCTCCTCACAGGGATCTCCACCAACGTCGGTAGCGTCTCCACCGCCATCTTCGCTGCCGGCGTCACCCTCCACCTGCGCCACCAAGAACCACACACAATAAAGTATTACTCTCGCCACATACAGTCACACAATAACACACATTAACACAATACCACATACGGAAAATCAACACAATTATGGTTAAATCTCATGAACACACATCGACTCTTATCATGGCAACGTTAACTCTTACACTGAAACTTTGGAACATTGTTGTGTTTGTGAATGAGAATATGGTTAACGATTTCCTAATAAAAGACTTGACCGTGTCTACCTGTGATTGTGTAAGAAAGCCCTCGTATGAGAGAGCATTAATAGTAGAATACAACACCTAATTAAAACACCTAAGTATAGCGTCCGAATACACGACAGTGTAGCGTCCGAATACACGACAGTGTAGCGTCCGAACACACGACAATGTAGCGTCCGAACACAACATTGTAGCGTCCGAACACAACATTGTAGCGTCCGAACACAACATTGTAGCGTCCGAACACAACATTGTAGCGTCCGAACACAACATTGTAGCGGCCGAACACAACAATGTAGCGTCCGAACACAACAATGTAGCGTCCGAACACAACATTGTAGCTTCCGAACACAACATTGTAGCGTCCGAACACAACATTGTAGCGTCCGAACACAACATTGTAGCGTCCGAACACAACATTGTAGCGTCCGAACAAAACATTGTAGCGTCCGATCACAACAATGTAGCGTCCGAACGCACGACAATGTAGCGTCCGAACACACGACAATGTAGCGTCCGAACACACGACATTTGTAGCGTCCGAACACACGACATTTGTAGCGTCCGAACACACGACAATGTAGCGTCCGAACACACGACAATGTAGCGTCCGAACACCCGACAATGTAGCGTCCGAACACACGACAATGTAGCGTCCGTCCGAACACACGACAATGTAGCGTCCGAACACACGACAATGTAGCGTCCGAACACACGACAATGTAGCGTCCGAACACACGACAATGTAGCGTCCGAACACACGACAATGTAGCGTCCGAACACACGACAATGTAGCGTCCGAACACACGACAATGTAGCGTCCGAACACACGACAATGTAGCGTCCGAACACAACATTGTAGCGTCCGAACACAACATTGTAGCGTCCGAACACAACATTGTAGCGTCCGAACACAACATTGTAGCGTCCGAACACAACAATGTAGCGTCCGAACACAACAATGCAGCGTCCGAACACAACATTGTAGCTTCCGAACACAACATTGTAGCGTCCGAACACAACATTGTAGCGTCCGAACACAACATTGTAGCGTCCGAACACAACATTGTAGCGTCCGAACACAACATTGTAGCGTCCGATCACAACAATGTAGCGTCCGAACGCACGACAATGTAGCGTCCGAACACACGACAATGTAGCGTCCGAACACACGACATTTGTAGCGTCCGAACACACGACATTTGTAGCGTCCGAACACACGACAATGTAGCGTCCGAACACACGACAATGTAGCGTCCGAACACACGACAATGTAGCGTCCGAACACACGACAATGTAGCGTCCGTCCGAACACACGACAATGTAGCGTCCGAACACACGACAATGTAGCGTCCGAACACACGACAATGTAGCGTCCGAACACACGACAATGTAGCGTCCGAACACACGACAATGTAGCGTCCGAACACACGACAATGTAGCGTCCGAACACACGACAATGTAGCGTCCGAACACACGACAATGTAGCGTCCGAACACACGACAATGTAGCGTCCGAACACAACAATGTAGCCTCCGAACACACGACAATGTAACGTCCGAACACACAACAGTGTAGCGTCTGAACACACGACAATGTAGCGTCCGAACACACAACAATGTAGCGTCCGAACACACAACAGTGTAGCCTCCGAACACACGACAATGTAACGTCCGAACACACAACAGTGTAGCGTCCGAACACAACAGTGTAGCCTCCGAACACACGACAATGTAACGTCCGAACACACAACAGTGTAGCGTCCGAACACACGACAATGTAGCGTCCGAACACACAACAATGTAGCGTCCGAACACACAACAATGTAGCGTCCGAACACACCCGAACACACGACAATGTAACGTCCGAACACACGACAATGTAACGTCCGAACACACGACAGATATGATCACCGAACTGATTGGAACAATGGTAAAAATGTGGTCTCTGCAAATCATAGACAAATATTTTAATCAACTTTAAACATACTTTAATAATAATATTTCAAACATGAACTCCGCATTGGTTTAAGTCCATCCATTATATTTGCTTGGCAAACTGACCAAGTCGTGTTGACCTTCTCAGTGGCCACAGATATCGTAAATGTAGTTTAATATTCATCAATAACATTGTATAATAGTCAGAGGCGACCTGGCCTCCCGCGCTGAAGGTTGTCCACTTCATCATCCTCAGGTAGACCCATCCCCCTAAACACACACACTATACACCTATATATATATATATATATATATATATATATATATATATATATATATTATATATATATATATATATATTAATTATATATAATGTTGTACCTAGTAGCCAGAACGCACTTCTTGGCCTACTATGCAAGGCCCGATTTGCCTAATAGGCCGAGTAATTTTCTTTATTTCCAATAAATTGTTTCCAATTGGTTTATTTGAAGTATTATTATTATATTAGGAACATAAATTATTGACTTATTTGTCTTAGTTTAGGTTAGGTTAGGTAGGGTTGGTGTGGTTAGGTTAGGTTAGGTTAGGTAGGGTTGGTGTGGTTAGGTTAGGTTTAGGTTAGGTTAGGTAGGGTTGGTGTGGTTAGGTTAGGTAGGGTTGGTGTGGTTAGGTTAGGTTTAGGTTAGGTTAGGTAGGGTTGGTGTGGTTAGGTTAGGTTTAGGTTAGGTTAGGTAGGGTTGGTGTGGTTAGGTTAGGTTTAGGTTAGGTTAGGTAGGGTTGGTGTGGTTAGGTTAGGTTAGGTTAGGTTAGGTAGGGTTGGTGTGGTTAGGTTAGGTTAGGTTAGGTAGGGTTGGTGTGGTTAGGTTAGGTTTAGGTTAGGTTAGGTAGGGTTGGTGTGGTTAGGTTAGGTTAGGTTAGGTAGGGTTGGTGTGGTTAGGTTAGGTTTAGGTTAGGTTAGGTAGGGTTGGTGTGGTTAGGTTAGGTTAGGTTAGGTAGGGTTGGTGTGGTTAGGTTAGGTAGGGTTGGTGTGGTTAGGTTAGGTTAGGTTCGGTCATATATCTACATTAGTTTTAACTCAAATTTCCACAAATTAACTTATAAATAACGAAATGGACAGATTTATCATTTCATAAGAAAAAAAAATGAGAAAAATATATAAATTCAGGAAAACTTGGCTTATTAGGCAAATCGAGCTTTGCATAGTAGGCCGAGAAGTGCGTTCTGGCTACTAGGTACAACATTATATATAATTAATATATATATATATGTCGTACCTAATAGCCAGAACGCACTTCTCAGCCTACTATGCAAGGCCCGATTTGCCTAATAAGCCAAGTTTTCATGAATTAATGTTTTTTCGACTACCTAACCTACCTAACCTAACCTAACCTAACTTTTTCGGCTACCTAACCTAACCTAACCTATAAAGATAGGTTAGGTTAGGTTAGGTAGGGTTGGTTAGGTTTGGTCATATATCTACGTTAATTTTAACTCCAATAAAAAAAAATTGACCTCATACATAATGAAATGGGTAGCTTTATCATTTCATAAGAAAAAAATTGAGAAAATATATTAATTCAGGAAAATTTGGCTTATTAGGCAAATCGGGCCTTGCATAGTTGGCTGAGAAGTGCGTTCTGGCTACTAGGTACGACATATATATATATATATATATATATATATATATATATATAATATATATAACAAGAGAACACCCCTACCTACCCCACACTACCAGTGAACACCCATCACTGCCAAAAGGAGGGAACGGTAGCCAGGCTGAGCAAGGCAGTAACGGTTATATACGAGCTCTGGCAGGGCATCTCGCCTGCTCAACTCCCACTGCCCCCCCCCCCCCCCCCTCCTCCTCACAAGCTCTCCCACATCCTGGAAACAATGCGCCGTACAGCCTCATGTTTCAAGCAAGTTATGAGTACTGAAAGAGACGTGAGGCCGAGTAGTACAGAAATATATATCAGGACTAACACACTTCTATATTAGTCTATTTAAGACGAGCTCAGAAGTATATTCTGAGGTTTCAAATGATCACATTTTTGTATATTGTAGTTCCCCCGTCGGCTACACTTGTTTGTGAGTGTTGGAGTCGTGAGAGTCCGCAGGGGAACATGACCTCCACACGTTCCCCAACAGAGGAAAGGACCAACAATGACAGCCATCTGCAGCATTTTCTCAAGGTTACAGAGTCACGTCTGCCTGTAGTATACACAAGAAACTGCTTCACCAATCAATCAGTTGTCTAAGCCCCATAAGAAGCTGACCATGAGCGCAGTTTACAATCTTTGCCCGACTCTCTAGTGGGAAGCCTCCGACCCCACAGGACCACGGGGCTCATCACTAGAGGGTGGGACACTGACACCATCTCTTATCCTTCCGGGGCTGAACAAGCCGGGTCGCCGCAACACGTCAAGGGGAAGGGGAGGAGGAGGTAATAAAGACCACCAGCCAGTACACCGTGATAACGGCAGGCCGGAGCACCGTGGTGGTGGTGGTGGCAGGAACAATACTCACCTCCAGGTCCATGGTGGTGATAGAGAGCAACAGGCGCGACACCATCGTCATGATAGCACACCTCACAACACCACTGACACACACACACTCCCGCCCCCTCTACACACACACACACACACTATGTTTAAACACCCCCCCCCCCCAGGCTTCCTCACTGCCAGAGGCAAAACACTCGAAGCATCACGTGTCATAAATCACATCCACATCAATCAATTTAACTTTAGCGCAACAATGAGCCAAAAAACACTGCGAAAACTGCACAGTTTTAAACTGGCCTTGAAATGACAGTTCTCAAAACAAGTGTTATAAACCTCGCC